GTGCATCGCTTCTAGTAACAAGTGCCTTACTAGTAGTAACAAGAAGCTAGTAGAGAACAAGAAGCCTATTGCTTTCCAACATTCAAACGACCCAAGACCTCCTGTTCCGTTCGCTTCTTCGCACACCGTCCACGCCACCGTGGTCGCGTGTCGCACTCTCTGCCCAGGCACAGGCGGACCATTGACCGGTCCACCACTGACAGCCGCTGGTGCCTTGGTGACTAGACCACTTAAAGCAAGTCAACCTGTGGATCAGAGTGGGCTTGGATCAATTTTTTTCCTGTCATTTGTGCAAACACATGCCGAACTGGACATGAAGGGTCATTCCGCTTTGCGACCTTTGCATCACCGACTCACCAAGCCCCTGTGGCTCCGGCTGTAACAAGCTTTCTCACTCTCGGGCTTCTCACCAGGGCAGTCCTGCTGGGAGGAGGCTACTCGGCTACGACGGTTGGACGTCTTTGCACAGGTCTTCCACATCCGGCTCATCCAATCGGGTCAAAGGGGATGAAGACGGATTCACACCATACAATCTATACATACCAGCACTGAAACCAAGAGGTCTCCGAAATGGAGGCGACATTGTAGACTTTTTCAAGTCGCAGGTGGTGACCTGTTGGAAGGTCCTGGTATAGAATCTATCATTCTTTCATGAGATGCTTTCGGGTCTTCCGTTCTGCATCCAGAAACTCAGCAAATGGGGAGAGCCACTGACTCTCAGTTGCCAGTAGTTCTACTCGCAAAAGAAACACTCCCATGCCAAACGCCCAGGCCTAGGCCCGGATATCTCAACACGTGTCCCGAAAGCCATCTACATCCTCCAATAGATAGGTTAGCTATTAGGTTGGAGGCCGTCCCTAGTAGGTTGGAGGCCATCGCTTGTAGGTCGGAGGCCATTGCTCTTAGGCTGGAGGCCATTGCTATTAGGTTAGCTGACCTCCTGAATCACATCTTAGGGGATCAATCAATTATTTCACAAGGGATCGAATCATTCTCCTCGAGAAGTGGAAGTCCACCTCAACCAGCCCCTCCGACGGGCTGTCTAAGGACCTATGAACCCCGTCGAGGTTAAGGACTTTCTCTCCATTCACCACCCTAACGGCCCTTGGACTCAAGTTTTGGGAGTCGTTAGGGCGACTTGCTAAGTCACAGAATTGTTCTTTTTTGGGGAAATCTACAGGAAATACCATAAATTGTTCTAAAAGTCCATCAACTTTTGGAGTGAAAACAGAGAGTTTCCTGCAGTTCTTCCCTAAAACATACTTCATCGAGAAAAGCTATCTCCACTTTCCCGTTGTTCTCCCGTGGCGCCGGCCTCGTCGGCGCCCGCGCTGCACTGGACCACACGAGTGGACCAGCCCCAGCCTTGGATTTCGAACCTACCGCAAATACCAACCACCCAGTGGACGCAAGAACGAACCCCTGTTTTGCTTTCAGCTCTCTGGGGAAAAAAGAGAAGCAACGCTTCGATTTTGTAGGGTGAAGCCATCCACCCGACGAAAACGCTTTTGGAAGCACCAAGCAGCCGCAGCTGGCGTCGCAGTCGCTCCACCTGGGCCGAACCCCGGACCTTCCCATCGGTGAGTGCTTGGGCTGGGCCACTCCAGCCGATGGCGATGGCCTCCAAGCTAATAGCGATGCACAAAGCATGGAGTGTTTTTGATGCGTCTTTTTCAAGGGATGCAGCTACCAGCACCTTCCAAGAGGTCTCCTCTGGAGGCTTTTGTAGACTTAAAAGTCGCAGGTGGCGACCTGTTGGAAGGTCCTGCTACACATGTCCTATCTGCTGAGCTGGTTCACCAATCTTCACTACGAGTTCACAGGGAGGACTTGCCACGATCCGAGCTTGAGACGTTTCCGCCGAAGCTTTGCAATTTTGCTGAGTGGTGAGTGCCGCTTCGCAGCTCACACCACCGTCGACTGGCCCGGTGGTGCAGTGCACGGTGCTCACACCACTCTCGAAAAAGACACTGAACGAAGTCTTCTTTCCCCCGAACAAAGACTCTGACCTCTGATGCGCCGTTGGTTTCCGAAAAAAGAAACATAAATCTCCCAATCCAAACACAACACCCTCTCAAAGAAAGCTCAAGAAACTGCACATCCCTCCAAACAAAGCGAACATGACCCAGGTACCTTTCAAACAAGATCCAAGTGGCTCTGACAGCAGCTGCCACTCACAGGTCTGCTCCGATAAACAAGGCTCCAAACTCCTGGGCTTGGGCACTGGGCCTCAGCCACGTCGACCGGCGTGTCGAGAGTCGAAGCCGAAGCCCGAGTTGAGCATCGAGGATGTCTTGGAGAGTCGAACAAAAACATGAATAAAACCGTTCCAGCTCTTGAACTGCTTCCTACAAACTAGTCAAGAGAGGTTATTTTTTCATGATTTCGCTGGATCTTGGAGGTTAAGAGGTGACCTGAATATTGCGATGAACTCTCCAAACAGCGACGAACTTGATCACTCCGAGATCACTATATCTGCTTGACTGGAGATCGTTCTTGTTCTTTATGATCGAACCATCGCTACGAACGGGGCTCCTGTCATCGCTACTAGGAGCGATCGGACGCTACGAACGGAGCACGTGTTCAACACCGAGCTGCAGCCACTGTCGCCGCTGCGGGAGGGACACTCCACCGAGCGGACGCGCGTGCCCAGGGCGCCGCAGGTGCTGGCGCTGCAGGAGCTCCAAGAGCCCAGGGTCCACTGGCAGCCTGCGAAGCGTTCGAGGCATTTTCGATGGCCTTTCGGTCTTCATCATGGTCTCAGCATAAGAAGAGGGGGGGTGGCTTAGTGAAGAAACAGTGAAGTCGAGGTTGGAAACCAAGCTATACCAAGTCGACCTGGTATTTTGTAGAGTAAAATCATAGTTCTTTGGAATTCAGACGGTATATAAAGATGTGATACCGTCATCGACTGTTGGTATCTGGTGGCTTCCGAATCTTCAATTCAATAGACCTGCTGCCCAAACAACCCAACAGGGGGCACTGCTGCCATATCAAGTTGAGCCATATCATGGGCTGTGAAAGTTCAGGAATCTACCAGCACCCTCCAACAGGGCACCTGTTAGAGCCTAACAACCCTCCAAAGGAGACCTGTTGGAGGGTGCTGTATTGAACCTCTTCTTGCACTCCAAGCCTTCCGCCGTTGAACCGCCGTCCTTTCCACGACCCAACACGGACAAAACGGACCAATGCGCGAACGCGAACGCTCTCCGCGTTCGCGCGGTCTCCGCACACTCCGATCTGACGCCTGTGGCGTCCAAGTTGCAGCTCTCCTGATCCAAGGGGCGTTGGACCTGGCGGCGACCATTTCGGCCGACCGATGGACGCCGCGGCTCCACCCGCGTCCGAACCGTCTCGGTGTGGGCGTGCCGGGTGTGGTCGAGTGTGCACGGGAAGAAATGGCCATGGGGTTCCGGTCGTTCGAACCCTCCCACTTCATGCTTTTCTTCCGGTGAATGGTTTCAAATGGTCACCTAAAATGGTTTCAAGCTAGGCTGAAGCACAGTCTTGCATCTTGATGGGCAATACTTCAATATTCCCACAGGACAATCGCAAAGTGTTAAGCCACCCAAGGTAAAAAAGAATAGAGAACGAAACTGCTTCTAGGTTCTTTTGGCCATCGGAATAGTAGCTTCTTGAATAGAGAAAGAATGGCGCAAGCACGCTTCGAACATCGGAAGCTGTTCACTTCTCGGCAGTTCTCTGATGCCCCTCGGATCCCTCGGATCCCTCCGGGAACCCGGCCTGGGCGCAATCGGTCTCCTCATGGCTGCTGCAGGTGAGGTTCCTGATGCCGAATAAACACAGCAACACTTGGTGGTCTCACCGCCTGGTTCTTCCGTTGGTGACCAAACTTGATTAGGTTTGAGATCAGGTTTAGACTACTCAGACTACTCTGTAAGGTCACACAACACAGGGACGCCCCCCAAAACAACGGTCACCTTTGAAGCCTTTGAAGCGGGCCCCCGCGGGCACCCCGCTGGGAGGCCGAGGGCGTTCTTGTGGGGCGAGGACGGAGCCAATGACCAGGGGCTTGTTCTCGAGGACTTTCGAGGAACGAGGTAGAAGCTACGCACGGTGGAGGCCATCGCGCTACTAGGAAGCTTCTAGTAACCCAAGAGCGGAGCCTGATGAGATTTCAACACATGCATCAACAGGCCTGGATTCAAGGTTGGACGACTGGGAATTAAAAGCTTTCTGCACCCCCATACCTGGCTTGTCCAACGGCAATCAAGGCTCATACTGGGATTGTTCGAGGCCTTGCTTCTGCTTGGATCATGTATGATCTTGTCACCATGAAAAGCTTGTGGATTCTACGACAGTGGGCTTGTTCTTGGCAGGCTATCCACGTCGCATGGATGCCATGGAAAATTGAACAATTGACCCGAACTTTGGATATTACAAATTATCTTGTACTCTGTTGTACTATATATTGTGTCAAATAGGACAACCTCCCAAACCAATCTATGGTCTTGCTCCAGCTTGGAAGATGTTCACCTTCACCTCCCATCTCGTCTGGCCTCGCACGCGTGCCGGGCTCGCAGGTGCCGCTACAGCCGCTCCAAGGTCCGGCCAGCCATTGGCAGCCCTCCTGGACGTCCACTCGGACCCGTGACTGGACGAGTGAACATCGCGGCGACGGTCGGGGCCGCGGCGAGTCGTTGACCGGAAGCAACGACTCATGGGGTGGTGTGGAAGCATGGTGCGATCTTCCATGCAACCGCAGACGAATCCTGGGACGCTCCAACGGCCTTCAAAACATGTCTGGCATGAACTGCGCTGTGTGCCATCCACTGTGCCATCCACTGTGCCAACCATGTTTCGTCACGAAACCATTCGGCCCCCCGTGGTCTGATCTCGTCCGTTGCACTTGAGATCCGGTGAGACCGTGGTGAAGACGAGGATTCTTCGCGCTCGTTGCGCGCGGGGTTTGGGGGGTCTCGGATTTGGCGAACCCCACAGCCACACATCGGGAGGTGATGACACATTCCATGTTTTTTTTCCCACCCAAACAGTGTGGACACACTTAGGGCCTAGGGGTTCTTACGGTGTGAAGCAGCTGTTTGGGGATCATTTTTGGTCGGTGGAGGTTGATGCAACCTGCTCTTCTTGGCAACTCCCGGGACCCCCTTCTTTCGAGCTGGCTGAGGGTCCCGGGGTCGGAACTCAAAGCGGCTGAAAGAGCCAAGGGCTTTCTTCAAACTTGGGATATCCTGCTAGGTGTATCCTACACCACAATGGTTGTTCCGAACAAACATGGGCAACCAACTGTCCCGAGCTGAGAGACGCAGAACAGCGCAGGGAATCGACTTGCCTAAAGCTCTCAGAATATCAGCCGATGTTAAACAATCATATAAATGCATTGCATATTCGTAATTTAATACAAGTTACACCGATGAAGCAGCCATCTCCTTTCCTCAAACATCATGGAATGTCAAATCTGTGTTCAGCATCCAACTGCAGAAACACATGGGAGGGAGACATGTGCGCCGAAAGCAGCGGGGGCAACCGTGCCTGGGTGTAGCATCGTTGCCAGGTGCTGGGCTTGGTGGGGCAATCCACATCGTTTCCCGTAGGACACTGGATCATGCGTTCCTGGACGGGCCGAACGGTCTAGACCGTGGGAGAGTGAAGATCCACGCTCACACAAGCGTGGCATGAAACGGCATTGGAAAGCTTCAGTTTTTGCAAGAATCCTTGACATCTTTCATGTACTAAAGCATTATATTCGTATCATTTTTTGAAACGAACGTTGGTGAGCATCTTTCACAGAATGTATGGCTTTGGTGTCCAGCCAACGTTCCTGGCTTCGACCAAAAAAGCCATGACGCTCCCTCCCCAGCTTCAAGCAAGCAACTTGAGATATCGCAGCAAACCATGAGCTTCCAGCCATGTTTCTGCTTGAAACCGCTCAAAAAGGGCAAAAACTCCAGATCTGATGCTTTTCGTAGTTAGCAGCAACCCCCAGAGGCCATCGGAGGGGGTCAGGGATTCCCGCCACTTTCGCCGGTCGCCCGGCTCGCCTGCCAGCCGATGCCGCACGAGACGTTGCAGGGGCCCCAGGGTTGCATCTGCCAAGCGCAGTTGCTGTTGCTGAAGCAACTCCTGAGGCGACAGACAGCGATGGATGTTTCTTCTATTCACCAGGGTGTCAGTGTCCAGACTCCTCTGACGGATGCCTCAAAAAACAATTCACGACGAAGATAGACATGGAGCAGCACGGATTTCGGGTGTCCATTAATAGCCCCTTAGAGTCCTTAGAGGTCAAGGGGTGTCCATGTCTACCACCCCGACTGGGGGTCCGAAGATGACCGCTTGCGCCTGCTGCTGTTCGGCGCCGCCTCGGTGCAGTCGCTCTCCCCACGGGGCCCGCTGCAGGTGACGCTCCGAGCCTGGAGAAGCGCAGAGGCGAGACGCAGAGCGTCACCGAGTGAAACCGAGTGAAATCAAACAGATCTCAACCAGCACCGAAACCACCCAGAGGTCTCCAAGTGAAATGGTGGCGACCGACCGTAGACTTGCTAGCCTGTCACGACGGTGGTTTTCCCGAACTGGGGTTCGCTCCTGGTAGAAGGCGATCCTGGAGATCCAGAACCCCAAACACACCTGATCGCCCAAGAAAAATGGATGATTGAGACACATCCCACATCGAGTGAAACATCTCCCGGGGTGATTTGATCAAACCACTTCAGTCAGTGGGACATCCTTTCACTCTCTTAAGACCAGGACATCCTTTCACATCTCTTCAGTCAGTGGGACATCCTTCAGTCAGTCTGACAGAGTTGATTCCCTTTTCCGGTGACGACTCGTGACGAAACAGAGTCACAGGTCTTTTCTCGATTCCAAAGATCGCATCCAAGCCCAGGTGGAAAGGGCCATCCAAGGGTTGCCCCCTCAGGACTCCATGCCCACGCATTGCTTTCGTCGAACTGAACTTAAGCAGCCAAGGCTTTCCTTTGAATGTGGGTTCAATACATCTGGGCCGTCCAGTCGATGAGGTTGGTCTTTAGATGACCTTGTATTTTGGGATTTCATTTACTTTGGTATAGTCCAATTGGACTTCCCAGCCCCCGACGCAAAAAGGGTCTGGTTTTTGAGGGGTGTTGGTCCTCTAAAACGGTCTCAATTGGCATAGAGTCGGGTGCTGGTTTCGAGATCTACATATGACACCTGCCAAGGTACTCGACCCACATCTGTGTGAGTTCCGTCTCCGCAATTGGAAAGACGTACGTGCCTTTCGCGACCTTCCATCCAACGGTCATCGTTTTCGAACAACTCTTCCAGCTTTTGGGCCGCTTTCACGCTCAAAGCACCCTTCGGCTGGCTGATGGCGCCCAAGCACCGCTCAAAACCTCCGGCGCCAAAGCAACCCGACTGTCCCCGCGCCTCGAGGCCGGTGCCACAGTCGCTGGAACACTCCTCCCAACGCCCCAGCTGCCACGTGCCTGGTGCCACCAGGTGCTGCTTCAAGTGGATCGATGAAAGGACAGCTAAGCAGGACCTGCATGGTGTTTTTCATTACGTTTTATGGGTTTCCCCCTCCTCCGTGAGGCTCCATTCACCATGGTTTTGAGGGTCGGAAGCCCGAAGAACCATGGTCTTAGTGACGGATTTTGAGTTCAAAGCCAGGTCCTGAAAAATTGGTCCAACAGAGGGGCGCGACCGGCGAACGGGGGTTCAGTCTTCAAAGGGTCGCTGAGCAGCTGAAGCTGGCTGAGTTCGCCAAGTACTAGAGCGACCGGGCGGCTGCGGACAAGCTCTCGGACACAGACACAACTTGAATCTCAATCTGCTTGCGGATCTCAACCCAAAAACTCTTCCCGAAGATTGGCTAGAAGGGAATTTCGGGTGATCCAACTATACAGAACAGCATCCATGACCACTCCCACTCCTTCAGCCCCGTACGGCCCCCAGTCTGCGTCTGAGCCACACGAGCTGGTGCTATAGCACGTCTTGGAGCGTGCGGGCATCGTTCGACCTCGGGGACGCGCCGAACACGCGGCGCGCGCCGAACACGGGTGGCTGAGGGATCTGCTGCGTCTGGTGGTTTTTGAGTGCGACGTTTTGGTTGAGGTAGTGAAGGCCTGGCAGCCATGCACCTAAAGCCTATAAAGCTTCAAAGTTTAGAGAGATGTCAATTGTCAAGCGGTCTGGTTCCACTGGGATGTTCCATCATCGCCGTCCAAGTGGCTGTGACAATCTGAATCCACCAAGGAGTCACACCAGACCTGGCACGCAAAAAGCGTGGCACATCTGCTGTGAGTCGGTGGGATCCAATCGATGCGAGTCGGGCCTTCGTCTGGTCGTGGATCCCAAGGTTTGGTGGGTTTTCGGTGGGAAGGGCACATGAGCAGCTTCGACCGAGGGAGATGACGTGTACGAACCGGGCAAGGAAACACAGGAAGGATAGGCCCCGACCTGGCTGATTCTGCCGGATGTGCTCTTGCTGTCTTTGGAATGGTGAACTCGACGGGTGGCACACGAGAAACACTTCGCCCCAGCAAAGAACACCACCTGACACCACTATAGTTGTCCTCTACTTTGTTCTTCACATCTCTACTTCTTGCTAGCTTTCTCCTAGGCACTTCAACTTGTCCTAAAACTTCCCCACTTCTCCCCCAAACTCACCCTATCCTTCCTTCCCGCGTTCCGCCTGCCGCGTGCGCAAGCCAGAGCCGCAGCTGGCGCTGCAGTCGCCCCAGGAGGAGCTCTGCCAGGTGCAGCCGCTCTGCTCATAACAGGCCTGGTGCCCGGTGTCCGCCGTTCCATGCTTTTGGGGATGGCAGTTTGGGAAGGCTTTGGGGTGAAGCAAAGGAATTCCAGTTGCGGTTGAAAAGCTGAACAGATTGATGTGCAAAGGAAGAGGGAATGAGATGTCATGGGATCAGAACTGACTTGCAAGGATCTTCGTCAACAACTCTACCAGGACCCCCTTGTAGTTCCCCTGCATCACCTTCCAGGTACCTGCTACCCAAAATCACTTCATCTCACAAAAACAACCTAGCCTTCCAAGCCTTTTTGAACATTCACCTGGTTTTAACAGAGGAAGATCCTTAGCAAAACAACGGTGCTATTAACACACTTTAAAAGAGGATGCGATGAAATCGTCAGGAAGCCCAGCAAAAACACTCTACTGTACATACTTCAAGTCCATGCTCCACGGTGACTCCTCAGACTGCCACGCTGCCGGTCTAGCCTCGCTGCCGGTGGGGCGTGCAGAGCTCACGCAGTCGTCCGCGTGGCCCGAGGAGCACTGCACCGAGCGCCTAGGACGGTGGACATCGATCCAGCTTGATCCAGTGCAGCGGGGAGGCCGGTTCAGAGGGCGACCGAAACCACGACCGAAACCAAGTTCGGGAAAACCACCTGCGACTTGAAAAAGTCTACACTCCATTTCGGAGGTCTCGAAGCCAGCAGGGAGACTTCTCAATTTCATTCATCCCATAAGAATCCCAGAGACTCTCCATTCCTGCCGATCGCCGTCCCAGGCACTGCCGTAGACCGGCACCGCAGCTGCTGCTGCAGCTGCTCCAGTCGCCCTCTTGCCAGCTACACCTCATGGGTCGCGACGACCAGATCCGAGATCCGAAGGAACCTGGCAGCCAGACATTTGATATAAGAGTTCAGAAACAGATTTTCCCATCGAAGAGGAACAAAGCCAGAAGCCGCACCTTTGTCCGCTGAGGTCCCGTATACCCCAGCGAAACACCATGAGTTGGAGCTACGACGGTCTGAAGCCCTTCTCTACCGGCGATCTGTGCACATGTCGCTGGAAACGCGCACCCCAACGGAAGTTCCAGCTACGCAGCCAAGATGCCCCCCGGTCTGGTAGCAATTCTGAATGACCTCAGCCAAGGACCGCAACGAAGGTCCCATGGATTTGACGACGGTCCATGGGGCGTCCATGGCGTGCGAAGACCAAGGTAAAACGCGTTGACGCTTCAAGTCAAACCAGGAAGTTCCAGGACCTTCCAACAGGTCACCACCTGCGACTTTTTTAGTCTACAAGAGCCTCCAGAGGAGACCTCTTGGAAGGTGCTGGTTAAGAACATAAGTAATTCAGATATATACCGCAATCTCAACCACCAAATGCTGACCACATGTTGACCTTCGGACTCGGAGTTTTCCAGTGCAAACCTTCGGCAAGATCGATCAGCTCAGTTCAAAACGGACCCAACCGAATCCCTCTCATCCTGTCGAACGACTCGGAAGCCACGCCGCTCCCCAGCCGGAAGGTTCGGCTCCCAGTTTGAAGGGTGAACCGAACGCACTCTACCGGTTCGACCTGTCTGTGGAGTGTCTCCAATTGACCCATGGCCAGGTGGATTTGGCACATGGGAACCACATAGTTCCTGGGTGGGCCCAAGCTGTTTTCAGGCATCGCGCAGCGTGGCGGGCAAGCAAAGCAAGCACTGAAGGCGCGTGGCGTGCCCTGGTCAAAACCCCCAAATGCTCCCCGAGTGCGAAACGAACGAAGCGACGTCTCGCCCTGAGGTTGCCTCATAAGTCGTGTTTGTGTCTGATCAACTCTAGCAGCTTGTGAGGTCACTTCCTGACCAACCGAGGGGAAGAGTCTCACCCAAACTAAACCAAGAACCAACTGAGACTCCGGGCCCGAACCAATGGAAAGGGTTTAGTTCGGGTCCGGACCCCTGCGTTTCGGTGTGGTCCGAGGCTGCTGAAGGTAATTCTGATCCTTTCGATCCTTTGAGACGCCCCGAAACACACCGGTGGCATTCGGTCTTGCAGGGCGGCCAGACCCGTTCAACACCGCAAAAAGCAAAGAAGACGTCAGGCCCTGTCAAGCTTTGGAAACACCCCCTGCGACTTCCACTCGCATGCCCATCGCGAATTCCGCTCGTTTAGCTCGCTCCTTTTCGACTTGGCCTGTGAAACAGGCCTCAGCGTTCGGCGATGCTCGGTGTTCGTCCCCAAGAGCAGTTCTCCGGTGGTAGGGACTCCTGGTCGCCACGAAAAAACCCGATGCCAAATGAAGCCATCACGGGGGGCTCAAATCGAGGGTGTGGAAACACCCGGACTCTTTGGCGTTTTCCAGTCCTGAACAATGCACCGAATGAAACCACCTGATTGGGATCCTCTCATCACGCCGTTGCGGGGATGGGCTTTGCAGGGCGGCCGCACCGCGTGGCGGGTTGGAAGCGAAGCACGAGTGGCAACCGGCAGTTGGTTCAATTGGACATATTCGTATACGAACTATAGTAGAGGGGGTCCTGTAGGTCTTATAGAGCCCCAGAAGCTCGTCGGCCGAAACCCTTGCTCCCTGATAGGGCGACAATCGAGTTCCTCCTCATGAAGAAAGAACCGTCATCACTCCAAAGCCCCACGAAGGAGCCCAGGAACATTGAGGAGATGCCATTTTTGGGAGGTATCTCATATTGCTGGTGGGTTTTAGTTGTTCAACACAAACAGAATTAGGATTTCCAATCAGAACCAAAGGCCGTCGAGTCCCGCCACCTGCCGCCTGCCGCGCAGGTGGCCCGTCGCAAACCCGGCCCCAGGACTGGACCGCCACTGACGAGCCGCGTTCATCGGTGCTCATGGGCGCAAGGACTGGAGGGAGATGCAGCCCACGGCCAAGTCAGTGCCTAGGCATCCATCAGTATCCATCAGGGCCGGCCAGGGCGTGGCCAGGGCGGGCCAGGGCGGGCCAACTGCCAACTGGTTGGTTCATTGGCTTTTTGGGTCGTTCTTTCCCAACATCAGTGCCTTCAACAGAAAAAGACGTGGTGCGTTTGAGGTGTGGGCTCATGCGCCAAAGTTCAGTGTCTTTTTCACTGGGAAAAAGGAGGCGTGAGGATGGTGCCTGGCGGACACAACCTCTAGGTCCCTCACCTGACTGGTGCGACATGTAGGAAATGCCCCGCTACAGCTTCCATCGGATCCAGAAAGTCTGATTCGAACCTTTGGTCGCACCCAGTCAGCCAGAGGACATGTCTTGGGTCCCGCCCCCAGCCACGGTAGAAACCAGTCACCCTCACCAACGCTCGGAGCTTCGAAGGCCCTGCCAGTTTGAGGTGTCCAGACTGACGAGCCTGGCTGCCTAGCTCTTTCTGTCCTGCCTATCTACGGACATGGAACGCACCTGAGCCACGCGGGCGCACATCGGACCCCAAAAAGGAACCCCAGGTCTCTGGGAGTGCCCCAGGGTGCCGCAGCCGGTCTCGAGGGACTGACGCAGCCGGTCTTGGGATGTTCGCCGCACGAGTCGAGTCGAGACACTTCGATCCGGCGATGAACCTGGAAGACGCGACGCGCTCAGAGACGACGGGTCATGGACGGATCAGCAACAGCTCAGCTCGCCTTCTCCAGGAGCGACAAGATGGGATGACGAACGGAGTGACAAGTCGGATGGCACTAAACACCATCTCCCCAGACTTCCAAGACCATAAACAATCCTTAGTTGGTTCGATAAAGCCTATGAATGTATATAATGGTGATTGGAAGTCTAAGGATCCCAACTGGTGCCCAACAGATGATCCACACTCCGAGGTGCAAATGAGCTTCTTCAGGCCTCCTGAAGGTCCGCGCGCGAGGTAGGTCCGCGGTTTGCGCGCGCGCGGGCGTATATGTGCGTGCGCACGTTCTGGCTTGGCTACGCAAAAGACCAGGGGGGGCTCCGAAAGCAAAGCAAGGCTCCACAGCCAAAAAGCGCTGGGACTCCGAACGACCGCAGGTCACGTGTTGGAAACAACGGATCTAAACGAAATTCCAATTCAGTTTGCAGAACTGATGGATCCAAATCCATTTGTTTGGTCCATTTGTTTTGTAGAACTGATCCAAACCACTTGGCCAAGAACAAATCTACCACGACAACTCACCCAAAAGAACTCAACCACCCACACCCACGTCCAGTGACGCGGAAATTAGCGGATGGAACCCACGAAGCCGGTCCTGGGAGCTTGACGTTCTCCAAGGATTGGTGAAAAGAATGACCAAACTGTACACTCTCCAATCCTTGGATGAGCTTGGCAGGCTTGCGAGCCTCCGACTGAAAAACACCGTGGTCATCTGCTTGGGCTTGCGAGCCGTTTTGTGTGGTGGAACACCGTGGTCTGACGCGTGAACACGCGCGAGGATGGAGCATGAACAAGATGATCCGGAGGTCTCATGATACGTCGTGAACTGACGCGTGAACTGATGTGAACCCGAGATCCCGAGACCCAAGACACAATGGGTATATGAAGAACCGTCTGGTTCGTGTGTACAGGAACGTGGTCTTCGAAGGGTCCAAGTTTCACTGCCGTTCTTGTTCGATGGAGGGTGGGTGGAGAGTAAAAAAACAATTCTTTTTCTTCAGCAAGCAATCCAAATGGCGCGGAATTTACTCAAAGTAAGGAGTTTTTAAGATGAACACTCTTTCAAACCATGCATGTGTACAGGGTTAAGCTATGTTCGTCCTCTTGTTCTGCTTCACAAATCATAGAGTTCACTTCGTTCATGTCCTGATGCGACACATATCTACTTCTCCCATGTAGTAGCACCGACTTCGCCATCCATCCGGCTCTTCACCGCTGGTGCCTCTCCCAAATTGCCCACCTTCCCTTTCACCTCCTTCCTCCTCCTCTCTGCCAGAAAACAAAATCCATCTCCGCTAGACAAAGACATATCAAGGCTCCATTTCCATATCCCTTTTCTACCTTCTTCCCGCTGTCCCATTTCTATACCTCTTTCATCTCACCCTCTCCGCGCTCTTCCCAGCCCGATCAGTCTCATCGAGGCTCCAGGGGGGAAGATCACCTGGTCTAGGCTTTGATCGAAACTGTCTCCAAAGACCAAGGTCTGCAGTCCTCAGAGGGTGCCCCACCAGTCCCAAAACAGCGCCCCGTCCCGTCGACGTCGCCTTTCGGCGGGTGGAGAGACGTTGAGAGCAACGACCCACCGCGCCTTGGCGCCCGAAACCTGGTCATTTTGCAAAGAAGCCGGGATCTGTCTGTTTGGAGCCACAGCCATATGTGAAGATCCTGTCGTGATTGTGATAGAAACAACATCAGCACCACAGTGGACATACAACCAGTTCAGCACTGCGAGCTGATCTTGGAACCCAATAGTTCCGACATTCTCAGCACTTAAAAGAAAACATCTGGGTTTAAAACATTTGGGTTTAGGCCAAGAACGACCAACAACGAGACACATCGTAGATCATCGAACTATCTGCAACAGCATCTACCTATAGCTGGAGTTCCTCTAGACAGGTTCAGACATACCATCATCTACCACACGTACAATTTACCAGGTTCAAGATACTCAAGATGAACCACTCCCCCCCCATCCAGTCAACTTGGACAGTCCCCGCTTTCCGCCCCTCACTTCCCGACGGGGAGCCGCTGGGGAAGGTGACGTGCTCCAAGCTGTGATCAAAGCCTTGCTCCGACGGGTGGTTCGGCTGAACGGGACGGTCCTTTCCATCCAACCAAAACTCCAGGCCCTATGAACCCAACATGATGATGATCGTTCTTTTGATGCTTTTTGCCCCAAAAAGGGGTCGCAGGTTGTCATTTGACGTTGGTTTGCCAGTTCTTGGGGGGTACAGTCCCGGAGGCCAACAACTGGAGGCCTGTTTTCCAATCTTTCTTTTTTCTGTTGGACGAAGACCATCGACATTCCTCTCACCCCAAATAGGATCTCTATGGACATGATAGCATCTCTTACATACTTTCATCGATGTTCAACTCTAAACCTCAGGATTTTCCAAGTGCTGGCTTTGTATTTGGGAATCTCCGTTTCTTCGGCGGCCAGTCTTGCCCTGTGCTTTGCCGCTGCAACATCCTGCCAGAAGAGCCGCTTCCAACCTGCGGAAATCAAACAGAGAATCGCCCTTGGGGTCA